GGGGTTCCACATTTTAGTTCACCTGAGCTGAAAGCTCAAGAGAGTTTTTCTGATCACTCGTTGTCTGGTGTCCGTCTGTCTGTCCCTCCGTCTGTAAACTTTTCAACTTCTTGTAAAAACCACTGAGCAAAGTTTGTACAGAACATCCCTGGTTAAGGGGGTCTGTGACGGTACATATTGTCGTGTTGTACATATTGTCGTCGGCGACAATATGTACCTACCCTCACTGCACATATTGTCGTCCACCGGTACATATTGTCACCGGCGACAATATGTACCGAGACGACCCTTATTTTCCTCCTGCATAACGGACGACAAAATGTGCAGTCAAGCACCAGCACATATTGTCGTCTGCGACAATATGTACAGTCAAGGCCGGCACACATTGTCACCGATACATTGTTTTGACGAATATTTACTTGAGAAAGAAAGAGATAGACAAACAAGCACACGCACGGAGGGGGACAGACAGTATTCTTGGCAATATTTTAGGGAGAAAACTTTGTTGGTCAGACAATTGTGTCCAGGATTGATGTACATCACTATGATATGTCAAGATACCAAAATTCTTGAGATATCTGATAAATCAGCCTCTTCTTTTTTCTTGTAATATATATCTGGATATTGAATACACGTATTAATTTTTTTTGTTCAGTAGTAATGATTATTTGTAAGATATATTTTTGCGTTATTCTTATACAATCAATGCCGATATAATTGTCGTTGGGGTTGATATTTTGGATCACCCTAACTGGAAGTTCAAGTGAGCTTTTCTGATCACATTTTGTCTGACCGCCCCTCTGTCTGTAAACTCACAATTTCAGCTTCTCAAGAACTATACTGGGTCAATTTCAAGCAAACTTGCCACAAAGCATCGGTGGAAAAAGGGGATTCCAGTTTGTTCCAATGAAAGGCCATGCCTTCTTTCAAGGGAAGTAAAAAAATCTTCTCAATTAAGAACAACTGTGTCAGAAAAGTTGAAACTTATGTGAATGCTTCTTTATAAAGTGTAGATTCAGTTTCATCCAGATCATGACCCTTGGGGGTGCGGTGTGGCTACAATAGGCGATCAAAGTTTTTCATAGAATATTTAGAAAAAATTCTTTCATTCTTTTTTTTCAAGAAGTACTGGATCAGAAGAGATGATAGTTATGTGAAAGCTTCTTTACATAGCTTAAGTTCAATTTTGAGGTGCTGGTGGGAAAAAGATTCCTCACTGCTCAATGACCCTGAGTGCCAAGTATAGGTTTAAATTTGCATTCCTCCACCGGTATGTGGTGACGTCTACATGCGAAAGAAAAATTCTCGAGATGGACATAATAACAACAAACAAAAACAAAATCAATTTTGTTCAAATCATGGCTCCAGAGGTAGGGTTGGGCCACAGTGGGTGATCAAAGTTTTATATAGGAATATATAGAGAAAATATTTCAAAATCTTCTTAAAAAAACAGACAGATGTAGCACCGGCGCCCCCCCCCCCTCCTCCCTCCCTCCCTCCCCCCCCCCCCCGTAGTTTGTTTTTTTCTGCTTTGGTAAATTCGATAGGTTTGATTTGTATATATTCTCAATTACTGTAGATTACTTATTTTTCGCGAGTACTTAATTTTGCGAAATGGCTCTTTAACGTCAAATCGCGAGAACAATAATTCGCGAGTGGACGGTTGATTAAAAGATTTTACATTGATTTCAGCACCATAAAAATGAAAGCGAGTAATTTTATTTCGCGAGTGGTGCTTCTCGCGTAATTACGCAATAATTAATTCCTCGCGTACATTTAGGAATCTACAGTAAGTCAAGAGGTAAACACACCTTTACATACAAATGACTTTTTAATTTTTTTAAATTCTGAACCGCCCACCCCCGTCTCCGATCTGAAATTTCTGGATCCACCATTGAGAACAGCAGTAGGCCCGTGATTTAATGTTGTTTATATGGAAGCATCATCAGTTTGTTTGTTTGTTTGTTTGTATGTTGTTTAACGTCCCTCTCGAGATTTTTTCACTCATATGGAGACGCCACCACTTGCCGGTGGAGAGCTGCAAATTTTGTCCTATACTCGGCACTTACGGCCATTGAGCAGTGAGGGATCTTTTTCGTGCCAGCACCTACTGCGATACGGGACCTCGGTTTATACGGTCTCATCCAAAGGACAGGTCTCCACGTCCCACAGTGGGATTCGAACCCGCGACGTAAGGATCAACTCCTTACTTCGCGAATCTAGAGCAGACGCTCTAACCACTGCGCCACGCGGGCGACTCATCATCAGGTAGTGCAGATTCAAGTATCTTCAAATCTAACCGGGCCTTGGGTGGGGCCACAAATCAAAGTTTCACAGAGGAATATATGGGATAATTCTTTAGAAATTATCTTCTCAAAAACAACAAAGCAATGATAAGTCATATATATATATGGATTGATTGATTGATTGATTATTATTGTTTAACGCTGAGTCTGCAATATTTTAGCCATATTTCGGCAATCAAATTAAGTGTATATGACCATTTTTAAAGTTTTTGGTTTATCTGGCCATATTTATATGGAGCATTGCCGTGCAGCGCCATGCAACATGTTCTGATGAACGACAATATGCGTAGTGAGGGTAGGTACACATTGTCGCCGACGACAATATGAACAGAACGACAAAATGTACCGTCACAATTACGCTGCATTAAATAGCATACGAGATACGACAGTGTGATTCATACACCAATTACATTCACAAAACAATCAAAAAACAACAAAAGAACTCTTTAAGCAACAATATCTGTGGGGCGACAATATGTACAGTGAGGGTGAGGCACATAATGTCGCCAGCGACAATATGTACATGTGTTACTTTTCTGACGGCGACAATATGTACTGATGGACGACAATATGTGCAGTGAGGGTAGGTACATATTGTCGTCGACGACAATATGTACAAAACGACAATATGTACCGTCACAGGGTCCTAAGTTGTAGAAATGATTGATTGATTGACTGTATGTTGTTTTACGTCCCATTCGAGAATTTTTCACTCATATAGAGACGTCACAATATACCGGTGAAGGGCTTCAAATTTTGACCTTTACTCGGCATTCAGGGCCATTGAGCAGTGAGGGATCTTTATCGTGTCCAACGCCTGCCGTGAAACGGGGCCTCGATTGTTAAGGTCTCATCCGCAGGACCCGCAACTTTCACTTCAAAGTGCTTAGCGCATGGCGAAGGAACAGTTGCTACCCATTTTGTATCGACTTAGGTCAGTCGCGGCCGAGATTCGAACTCACGACCTCCCGGTCACGGAGCGAGCGCTCTACCGATTGAGCTACCGTGAACGGTTTGTAGAAGTGAAGGACCAAGCCTCTTTCAAAGGTGAGATAATAAAGGAAAGGTAAACATAAGGTAGGTCATTTAAAAGTCTTCTTCTCAAGAACCACTGGGCCAGAAAAGGTGACATGTAGAGGGTACTTCAGGTAGTGTAGATTTTAAATTGTTCATTTTTAAATCAAATTTTACCATTGAAATATATAGGAAAAATCTTTTCCAAAACCACCGGGCTTGGTAAGAAGAAACTAAGATGAAAGCTTCCTAAAATAGTATTGATTCTAATGTTGATTCTAAATTGTTCAGATCATGGTCCCCGGGGTTAGGGTGGGGCCACCATTGGGAATCAAAATTTTATGTTGAAAATATTTTAATTATTTTCCACTCTTCTTCTGAAAAACTACTAGATCAGAAGAGATTTCCTCCTTGGGTAGTGTAGATTGTAAATTGTTCAAACCATGACACCACAAAAGGGGATAAAAAGTTTAATATTGAAATATATAGGAAATTTTTTTTTGTCAAAAACCATTGGACCAGAAAAAGAAAGTTATGTGGAAACTTCCTAAGATAGTGGATATTGTAAATTGTTCAGATTGTGGTTACCGAAATTAGGGTGGGTCACAAAAGGAAATCAAAGTTTTACATTGAAATATATAAAAAAAATCTTTTAGAATTTTGTTTTCAAAATCCACTGCACCAGAAAAGATGAAACTTGGGAAGACTTACTGAAGTAGTCGTGATTATCAATTGTTAAGAGCATGGTCCTCAGGGATAAGATCGGTCCAAAATGGGGATTACATAGCTAAAAATCTTCAAAATTCGCCGGCGACAATATGTTCAGGACGGCAATATGTACCATCACATTTGCGTTGCATGAAATAGCCTTAAAGACAAGTTTACGTGATTAACATTCCAAATATATTTAAAACACTACAAAACATATCCTTTAGCAACTCTGTGGGCCAACAATATGTGCAGTGAGAGTAGGCACATAATGTCGCTGGCGACAATATATACAAGTATAACTTTTCAGTCGGCGACAATATGTACCGATGGACGACAATATGTACAGTGAGGGTAGGCACATATTGTCACCAAAGACAACATGTAAAGAACGAAAATACGTACCATCACAAACTCTGATCTTTCAACTGGCGTCATAATTTCATAAATATTATGAATTTTGTGGAAGATTACGCCAGGAGATGGGCCAAACATGAAAAAGAAGACCTTGACACGTTCTTAGAATGGATTAAAAGTATCATATGCATGTTAAAATCTCACATTAGAGAACACCAAACACGTAACGAACGGATCTCTGTTTTACAAACGGTAAACTTGTTTACTTTGTGATTACCTTTGTATCTGACGAAACGTACGGACGAATCACACGTTTAGAAAAATAATTCGTCATTTTGATAAGTATATCGCTTTGGTGTTGCGTTCTAGGTTTTGTGAATTGTTTTTTATGACACAACAAGCCTGCATCAGTATAATAATATTAACATTTGCATATGTTAAGGCTCTAATGTGTATTTATTTATTCATTTTGGTTAAATTGAATGACAATTGATCCATACTATATTGAAGGATAACCTTTGTTTATAACGATAATGAGTATTAAAGGTGGTAATAATTATCAATACGACGCTTCGCAAGAGCTGAGCACAGTTCAACAATAGATGCAAGTTCCCATCAAGGGTGTCGATATAAGGAACCGATCACCCTAAACGTCTTTATATCTTTAATGACATGCTCAACGTAAACCCACTTTGATCGATGACGTATATTAAACTTTCGTCGACGACGTCTTTCATCTTGTGGTTGTTGAATAATGTCAGCGGTCTTGTATGGAGTTACAAGTGGTTCAGTTTGAGGATATCCACTGTCTGCTAAAATAAAAAGTCCTGCTGGCAAATCAAGCTCTTGTCCTGGTCCTATCTCAAGGATATTAGCATAAGCATGCGCATCATTCTCATGCCCAAGGAATCCCGAATGTACATATCTAATGGACTTCTCATTGTCTATGATAACCTGTAAAACATGCCTTTTTACACAGGATGTTTTTATTTTGTATTAAATGTAATATTTTGAACATAAGCATAAATGTACATGTAAATTTGAATTGTAATTTACGAATGTTCATTTTTGCTTGAGGAAGCAGTTAATTTTGAATTCTTACCTGTGTATGGATACAGTGATATTTTCTGTGTCCACTATAAAATTCCTGCTGAGGCTCCGTTTGTGGGATGTAAATCTCATGCGATGTCCCATCTATAGCACCCACTACGTTTTGCATGTTGTCCCAGCGACCTCTCATGGATAACCATTCCGCTGCTGTTGGCCAGCGAATTTCTGAAGACAATATGTCCCACAGCATAAACCATGTTTTCTTCAAAATGTAGCCTACACTAGATGTACTTGCTCCAAAGCAAAGGGAAAGCATTGGATATGTTGGATAATGCCTAAGCCATATTAATGTCATTAAAACTCTATTTTCTAAACTCATTAACTGCCCATTTCTCATGTTTCCATGCAACTCAACGTATAAGAAAACTCGATTCATTAATTCTTGAAATGAATCAATGGTCTCACCACTCAGTATCCAGAACTCAAAGGGCCTCGACCTTAGGTCTCTGTAAGTATCCCTTGGGACCCCCAAAGCAGGGTTTGCTGGTGCACTTTGTAATATTCTGTACTCTATCCTGAAAGTATCGCTGGGGGAGGGAGACGTGAGGAAGTCATATATTGTCGGCACAAATTTAAGACAAGGAGGAACGCTATCCTTTCTTCGTTTTCTGTGTAAGGAAACGGTCCCGCCCACTGAATTTTGTACTGAAGAAACATCAGCTGAATCATTAGAAATAGCCTCTTGCGACTATTTTCGTAAGGCAGTGGAATCAAAGTATTCCTTCTGTACTGAAGAAACATGAAAGCTATCAGCAGAAAAAGCTGTTTTCTTTCGTCCATGTTTACTGTTGGTGTTTTTTGGAGAAAGGGAAAGGCATATTATTGTTTGTTTTATATGCTCTTTACAACATTTAGACGATCAAAACGAGTGTCATTTTTCCAACATTTACATTATACATACATTATTAGCAATATTTTTTCAAATATTATTGTAACAGAAAACTTCATTGTGACTAGAATTAGCATAAGACTATTCCCCGAGGGCTTGCCCGAGGGGAATAGTTCCTGTCAAGGGTTTGATGAAAGAGCTATCCCATTAAAAGCCAGTGGATAAGCGTTTTATTATACTGATGTAAATTATAATTTCTGAGGGTTGGATTACCTGATACTACAGTGTCATAGGCAAAATATGAAAAGTTCAAAAGAATTTTGGGGAAGTATTTGGCATAAGATAACACTGCAAGAATAAGCTGAAATGCTGATGACGTCACAATGCTAGTGAAGTCATAATGACATCATCAGTCTCTAGATTTAATGCAGGAAATCAAAACTGGCGGCAAAAATTGAATGAAAGTTTTCCGAGGGGTGGATAGCACAAACTATACCCCGGGGTATAGCTTTGTTAGACGTGAAATTTTCAGCCTATAGAAAAATAGTTATTTTACCTTATTTTACCTTCTTAACTTCATATAGGAAACATTTTAACAGAAGTATAATAATACCTGTTACAATCTTATAAACTAAATAAATAAAGATTAAAATACTAAAAAATTAAAAAGTCAGTAAAGTCAGTATAGATAATATCAACTCAGATTTAAATACATAGATATAATAATTCATTGAACAATTGCTCAAGAGAACGAGCACCTGAATTAAAGCCCCCCCCCCCTCTCTTCTGTATCTAACTGAAGTATAAGCCGCAGAAACCTGCACATTCCCACCCCAACCAGTTCTCAAAGCCTAAAATAAATACTATTTTAATTCTTAGAATAGTTACATGTTTTAATTAACATAAAAGGAAAGAGGTTAAATTTTGAATTTATTTCAGAGTGTGGCATTTAGACGCTGCACGGACGCCCCCTCCACGGTTGAAGATTCTTCGGATTCTGCACCACACTGTAGTAAGCCAGATAAGATACGTACACCTGCTAAGGATACCGCAACTTCAACCAAAAATCCCGCATCAACAAGCTGTCAACCAGACAGAAAACGAGCAATACCAGTATCTGACGCAGATGATGATACGGATTCCGAGGTCGAACAACAACAACAACCTTTGAAGAAGAAAAGGTCCACATCTGAACTAGCAAGGATGTGCTATGAAAACTATCTAGAAAGGCTTCCCCAAAATGCTGAATTAGAAAAAAAAATGTCCCTATGCATGGACAAATTCCTTAACATGTAACATTTAATTTAAAGGAAAGTATGCCGGATAAGAAATATACTTAATTTTTTTTATCCCTAATCTTTGTTTTCAATTAAGTGTTTATGTAATCATGGTAATGGTATACAAGAAATTCAGAAACATGCAGGCGTGTGTGTGAGTGCACGTACTTGTGCAACAGCAATCATGTAGTTACAACTCGATATTTGTCGTTCATAACCAACTAGGAATTAATAAATAAATATTTACATCCACTGAATATTATGTACTTTATTTCTTTAGGAAACCATTGCCGTTTATCAGTCAGGTACAATTTCTTGAGCAATGGCTGTTTTATCAATGAAACGTACAATGGCGTACACATCAATAATTCACTATTTCATCTACTTAATCCTAATTAAAATGTTTATTTGTACAGATATAAATGTGAACAATAAAATGTCTTTCTTTGTTTGTTAGTACGGAATTAACGTTGCAACTATTGCAGAAAAAAATTACATACTAGTATTTCCGTACTAACAACCAAAGAAAGCATTTTATTGTTTAAATAAATGCACAAAATAAGTACTAGTAATTAAATTGTCTACACAGGTTTTTGTTTATTTATAATAACAAAATAAATATAAAGCGACTGATGGTATTCATATACTAGTAATACGGTCAATATCGTCGAGATACGTTCGTTCGTTGCGTGTTTGGTGTTCTCTATTAAGCGATTGAGGGGCAATAAGAAAACCATATATCCTTCTGTCTTCAATATTTCAGAAGTGAAAAAAGAATATGATTGGTATGCACGGTCCGAGCTGATAAAGCAGTTAACAACGTTGTTTTTATTTGTAAGACTCATTAGTTGAGTTGTATTTTAGAGTAAAGCGGAATTTAATTCTGCAAATGGTGATCCAACTTATACCCTAGCTCCCTTTCTAATAAGAAAATTCTTGAAAATCATTTGTCAGATTATATTATAATATTTTTAATATTCCCACAAACAAAATGAATTTGAATTACTATACTTTGGCGGATTCCTTTACTTCATAAATCATAAAAATCCTTACAAACAAAGTTACAAGGCGGGTTCTGGTAAAATGTTCCATCAAGCCTCTTTCTTTACTCCCTCACTAAAATTTTAACAGCAGTGAAGGAGAAACTTCAAGAGTACTGTACACCAATATATTCGAGAAGTGATGTAAATCAGATTTGGATACTTAAAAACTCCAAAGAACTTTAAGAAAATTTGAATTCACAAAATTTTACTAAACCAATAACATCGAAAAGTACGACTTTTCAATACTTGATACAACTATTCCTCGCGATAAATTAAAATCCAGATTTTGACAGCTGCTAGCGCTTTTACAATAAAAATGGGTCTTGTAAATTTAATTACCTTTTCATTGGTCGTTTGCAAAATTATTTTGATTAAAAACATTCTTATTGTACACACAAGTACACTAAAGTTGATTTTTTTTTATGTATTTCTAATAGACAGAATCTATCTAGTTTTTGGAGGGCTTTCAACAATTTGTCCCAATTCCCATCGGTACCAATTGCGAATCAATATATCCCAGTGAAATAGAATTAAAAGACACCACACAGTCTGAACACATCTGTTTCATATTTGGATAATTTACTAGAAAGAGACGTTAATGGTAGCTTAACAACAAATCTTTATGATAAACTTGTTGACTTCAATTTTTCTACCGTGAACTTCTCTTACTTATGTAGCAATATACCCTTATCACTTGCATATGGGGTTTATGTCTCCCAGCTGATTCGATATGCAAGATCATGCTCTATGTACAAACAATTTGTAAAACGAGGCAAGCTTTTGACAAATATTCAAGCCCTACCTGGACCAAACTCTGGATGAGGCATCTGGGGATGCACATTTCGAGATTTGCTTCGTGTGCAGTTTTACAGTACCAACCAGACCCAATCTGACACCTAAGCAGTCCCAGAAAGCAGTCCCCAGGACTGCCTTGGGACCGCTCTGGGACCGCTGTGGGACTGCTCTGGAACCGCCGTGGGACTGCTCGGGGACTGCTGTAGGGCTGCTTTAGAAAGCAGACCCAGCAGTCCCAGCAGTCCCTGGGACTGCTTTCTGAGACTGCTTTGTTTACTCATGCGTGGAAAAGGTTCTGAGTGACATGATAGCTCCGCCCCTTGTGTATTCTGAATTTGCAGCTCACTGTTGTTGTTTTGTTTACTTCATGCAGAGAGGTGTTAAGATAAAAAATAAAAGAAACAAGTATTTCTTACAAAAATTAAATAAGTAGAGATAGTAATAGATGTAATTACTAAATATCTTCAGGGGCTGTAAATTTACACAATTGTAGTTAAGAATTGATTTTAATAAATGAAAGTAGTAAAAAGGGAAGTCAGGGGATGATTTTTATTCCTTAAATTAAACTTCAATACAGGTGTTTGAAAAAAAAAATATCTAGGCCTATTTGATAAATCAATGCTGTCAAATTATATACTCAAAGTTTGCATTAGCACTTTATTAAAAAAAGAACAAAAAGCAAAAAAAAAAAAAAAAAAAAAACAAACTTGTCATTTCATTAAGATTTTCAAAGGGACGTACTGTACTGGATTTTTCTTAATTGAAAAAGCTAATACCATGCTTAAAAAAGAGCACCCCATGCTATTTTTACCGCCCTCAAATAAAACCTAATAATTTATTAACAAAATAGAAATATTCTACCATTCTTCTGTCACATAAACCATGTGAACAATTATTGGGAGATTTATTTATGAATTAGTTTTTAATTTATAAAAAAGGTATTTAAATAGTACATTTATTTAAAAAATAAACATTTGAAAATATCGGGAATTATGACATTTCTTATTTGTTTTGTTTGTGTTTACCTGGCCGATTTATAAAAAAAAAACAATACAATTGCATAAAATGGTGTCAACACCTGAGGTTTCAATCGCCTTTGGGCATAATTAGCAGAAAGTCAATGCATGTTATTTGGGTATCAGTGTTACACATCACTGAACACGCTGGTCAACAATGATACTAATTTCAATCTATGTACTGCAAAAAATCTTTGTTTCAATAATTGTGTATAAATTTATTTCGGGATTAATTAATTTTGAACATAATCTGAGGGTTCCATTTGCGGGATTTACAGATGTACACTCGAACATTTACGTATAATAAAACACTTAAAACTGAGAATCTAACGATAATTAAATTGGCAAGTCATTGAAAATAATCGTGACTGAAATAT